AGCCTATCAATTTATATAATTTAATAATATTTTTTACAAAATTTTTTTTTTAAGATTTAAATAGTATAATATATAAAAAGATTAACACTTAAGTTTTGTAACCAAATAATTATCTATTTCACCATAAAGATATATCACAATTTTAGAATTTGAGTTTGAATCTGAACTCTTAAATTGTAATTTATTCAAAAAAAATAAAAGTATTGGGTTATGAAACATGATATCATTTAAAATAAAAAATAATACTTTTTTATTGAATTCAACTATTTTACTTTTTAAATGAAAATAATTTAATTTAATTATTTTATTTTTTATTTTAATAATAATAAGACATTAAATATTAATTGCACCTGGCCCTTGCGGCCTAATGACAATATCCATCTTGGTGCATTCCCCTCTTCCCAGGCTGGGTTCGAAACCCGTCTCTTGCAAATATGTTAAAAAAAAAAACATTAAATATTAATCATTCAAGTTTAACCTTTATCTCAAAAAAGTGAATTAGAATTTTTTTGATAATTTTAAATAAATAATAAAAAATAATACAATTTAAAATATATTAAATTAAATTATATTAATTATTAAATTAATTAAACTTATATATTAATGATGCACTTTTTATCTAATAATTAATAATATAATATAATTTAAATCGTAAAATGTAAATCTAACTACAGATAAAGTACAGATAAAGTGACGCCACTAAATGTCAAAATCCCAATTGAGGAGTAAATATTTACTATTATTTTCTCAGCTTTTTTTATTTTGTGTAGTGTTCGCCTGTCGACACTGGAGTATGCTATACCTCTTGTCTCCTCCCACGAGGATCTAGGGTTTGTCTTCTCCAAATTTGAGTTGGATTCACAAATTGACGAATTTACCATCTCTGCAAATCTCTGATCTTGCTCTGAGTTCGGAACCCTAGCTCCAATGGCCAAAACAAGACCAGGGCTCTCTGCCAAGCCAAAACCGGGGAAGAAGGAGCTCGACTCCTACACTATCAGAGGGACCAACAAAGTCGTTAAAGGTACATACAATAGATACCTCATTTACGTGTTTCTTTCTCTAATTTGTTTGTATTTGTCATAAATGTTGCTTAGATGGTTGCCAAGGATAAAGTCTGGTGATTTTTTCATCTGGGTATCTTGTTTTGCTAAGCTACACATGCATTTGTGTTAAGAAAAATGGCTTCTGGTTAAAGGGTGAATGTCTGGGTGAGGGTTGTGCGGTGCTACATCTGTGGTGGTTTTACTTACATGTGCTTGTATGCTTGAGTATGCTCTGAAAAATGGAAGCTTTTTTTTTTGGTATGGACCACCCGGTAGTCGGAAGCCCACTGGGCCACCGACTAATTCGGATTCGAGCCGGGTAGGACCCAACGGGTGACAAAGCTCTCCCTCACGAGTTTTAACGGAGCTGCATTCCCAGGGCTTGAAACCAAGACCTTTGGTTAACCTGGAAGAGTCCCTGCCAACTCATGTGGGTTGAAAAATGCAAGCTTGATGGCAAAGAAAAGGTGTAATTTTGCAAAATGTAGTTAGCTGTTGATCCACCCTTCAAACTTGTATTAATGTCAATGTGTATGTTGGGCACCTTAAATGTGTTCATGTAAAGGGGTGAGTAATAGAATGTCGAATATTGAATGTTGTGGTGTTTAATGCATAATAAAATGTTGAATATTGTGTGTTTGTGTTGGTTAAGGAGTAAATGGGTGATGTTTTCGCAGCTGGGGATTGTGTTCTGATGCGTCCTTCTGACACTGGTAAGCCCCCATATGTGGCACGAGTTGAGAAGATTGAAGCAGATAATCGGAACAACATAAAAGTTCGAGTGCGTTGGTATTATCGCCCTGAGGAGTCTCTTGGAGGAAGGAGACAGTTTCATGGAGCAAAGGAGCTTTTTTTGTCAGACCACTATGATGTGCAGAGTGCCCACACCATTGAAGGGAAGTGCATTGTTCATTCTTTCAAGAACTACACTAAGCTTGAGAATGTTGGGGCTGAGGATTACTACTGCAGATTTGAATATAAAGCTGCTACTGGGGCCTTTAATCCTGATAGAGTTGCTGTGTAAGCATTACACTCTGTTGGTTTACTGATTTGTGGTTTTTGGTTATTGCCATTAATGGATTTCACTGCTATTTGGTTTTGAAGGTATTGCAAGTGTGAGATGCCATATAACCCTGATGATCTAATGGTCCAATGTGAGGGTTGCAAAGATTGGTATGTTGTGTACTTCTTTTCTTCTTGTTGGATATGGATTATGCCCTCATGGTATGTTGGCATAAATTCACTAAAATAAGATCATTAAAATAAAATTTTAATTTCTGTAAGAGGATTTATTTTATTAAACAAAAGGTGCAAGACGGTTATTCCACCAAAGCATCTAAATTAATTACTCTTCTCTTGCTTTCCTTCAGAGGGAAAGATTTGTGGGGCATGTGAAATCCTATGATTGATAGATGTTTACATCAACATGTTCATAGTTTGGCCTTTTGGTTATATGGGTGAAAATTATCTTCTCTGTTTCCAAAGATGTTGCATGCCATTAAATTCTTATCGTAAACTATCCTTTTCTGGCTTCTGTTAATTTGATGTTGACCATATGGAGTGCTTACCTTTGCCTCATTCACATGGATTTCTGATAAACACATCTCTAGATATGCCTAGTACACCATGGTTATAAGGCTTACCATTCATATGGTGATTTTGTATTGTAGGTACCATCCTGCTTGTGTGGGCATGACAATTGAAGAAGCAAAGAAATTGGAGCACTTTGTGTGTTCTGAATGTTCTGATGAAGATGCCAAAAGACCACAAAACGGATTTCATGCATCACCAGCGTCTGACATAAAGGTAAGATCATCTGCTGCATATACCAGCTGATTCAAGATGAAAAGTCTTTGTTGTTATGCTTTCAATGTACTTAATTTTGAGTTCAATAAGTGCTGCTGCTTTTCTCCAATAAGTCATGAAGCTTTTGTTTTCCAATTATAATTTTCTTGTATGTAGTCTTGGGAAATCTCTTGTTCTGAAGGTTTTGTCGGTGTATCATCTGGACTTGGTTTTACTAATCAGTGGTGGACAATTTTTGACTTAATGAACAAAATATCCTTGTCATGACCAAGTATACCATTATAATTTGTTCGTGGGTACTTACTGCGGCTACAGCCTTTAAGGCATTTCTTATTGCTTATGAACAGACATTGTAGAGAATACATTAATAATAATCAAATCTGCTTCAATGTCAGTTAATGATGTTTACTGATGAATTTTTGTTGTTATTTATAAATGTTTATAAGATACATTCCACTGAGTTCTTTGGCAGGTGCCTTGTATATTGACGTGATATGCACTGATTTTTTGTTCCCTGCATTCTAATAGTTGTATTGTTTGTGGTTGCACATTACCATTTCCAAGTTCCATTTTATAAAAGCAGTGTGCTCCTGTGGGGTGCCAACCACAAGTGCTAGTTCAGAATGAAGATACTCTGGATTCCTTTTTTGTCCAATATAATCACTTTTGAAAATTGAGCTTTTTGAAACATCTCAAAGCACTATAGACAATTGCATCACTAGCATGAAGAGTAATTGTATAAGGGGAAGCCCATTAATGACAATTCTTTGAAAGGAAAGGAAATCATGTCTTTTTGACGTTCTATACCTAGTTGCATCTTTATTTTGTGAATCCTTTTGGTGTTGGGAAAAAGGATCCTATTAGCTAATGAAGTCTGAATTTTTTCTTTTTTTTTTTAGGTGGAGCCTAAGCGTCGAAAGGGATGAGGATATCTTGGGAAATTTTGGTGTGCATGAAGAACAATTCTCTTTATGCAGATTTAGCTCGTAGAATGTTGTTGATGTCTGAGTTGTATGGTGCAGAAAGTCATGGTGTGCTCTTCTCTGACTGGTGGATGTTGTAACCTGTGTTTATCTTGTGACACACCTGAACCTGTGCTAGTTTTAGGCAAAATAGATTCTGTGCAGCAGTCATATGTAGTTTCTCAGATGTTGAACCATTAATCTATGCTGTAGAAAAACTCTGTTTGGGTTCCTTCTCTTTTACTCCAATCTTAACGTCAGCAGACATACTCATTCAAGACTGCCGAGACAATTCCATTAAGGTGGATGGTGTTAAGTCGAATTGGCTCGAAATCATGATGATTACCAGCAATATGCCAAGCTTTTCTCACTATTCCCTAGAAGGATGCATTTTCTTCGTTGTTTGGTGTGAAACTGAAATGGCAGGGAAAACATGGAAGGTAACTGCTGTGAATATGAGCAGAAGTGGAATGTAACTGTTATTTTTCAATTTGGGATGCCAACTACTAAAATCAACTTTATTCACATTAGAAATGAGGCTAATTAACCATTTCTGCGTGGTTCACGAGGGCTTCAGCTTCAAAACTCTCTGCATTACAATGAATACACTCAAAAACTCATTTCCTTCTGTAAGAATGGCGATAATTACCAACTGTGCAGCTCTTCTTCTCTCTGTGATTTTCACTGCTTTTGCAGAAGAAAGACAAATATATTTAGTTCTAATGGAAGGTGAACCAGTTGCATTTCATGGTGCCATTCAGCCCCACCAAGAAGGAAAAAGACTTGACCCAAATAGGTAACATATATAATCAGAACCCATCTTCAAGCTATTAATGTTTCGATGGATTCTCCATTCTCATTTCTTAAAGTTCTTTTTTTTTTTTCCTTCTTTTGCATGATAAACAGTGAAGTTTCCAAGGCTCATGCAAAAAGCTTGGTAGATTCTCATGACAGAGTTCTACAGAACACTCTGGAAACAGGAAGCTACAGCAAACTCTACAGCTTCAAATACATCCTTAATGGCTTTGCTGTACATACCACGCCTTCTCAGGTAATTCCTTCCCTTTTACAAAATTTTCCCATGAACCAAAGAAAAAATTATAAGCAGAATTCTTAATTACAAGTAATGGATTGAAAACTTCCAGGCCAAGAAACTCAAAGGTTTTCCTGGAGTGAAGTCAGTGGAGACAGACAGGGCAACAAAGATGATGACAACATACACTCCTCAGTTCTTGGGGTTACCGGATGGAGTTTGGACTCAAGAAGGAGGAGACAGAAACGCCGGTGAAGGGATTGTCATTGGCTTTGTTGACACTGGCATTAACCCATCACACCCAAGTTTTGCTTATGATCCGAGGGAACCCTTTTCTTCCAATATCTCTCGTTTTTCGGGTGCATGCGAGGCTGGACCGCAGTTTCCGCCCAGTTCTTGTAATGACAAGATAGTTTGTGCCAGGTTCTTCTCCGCCGGAGCTCAGGCGGCCACTCAGCTTAATGCTTCAGTGGATATACTTTCACCATTTGATGCAGTTGGACATGGCAGGTAATTATTGATTAATGTAACAAGACATTATGCTATTAATTTGTACATGTTCTAATTTATGTATTCTCTCCTTGTTTTATTAATAATCAGTCATGTGGCCGCCACGGCTGCCGGAAATGCTGGGGTTCCGGTGATGGTGAATGACTTCTTTTACGGGCGAGCCAGTGGGATGGCGCCACGTGCTCGGTAATTATATGCCTAATTAATTAACAAACATTGGAAAATATTTTTTTTTTGGTTTCTCGGTATTCGAGGCTTCGCCTCGATTAATCTGGACCCGACCCGCGTCACGCAACTGGAAATGGTGGGTGAGTCTCCCGCTGGGAGCTGCTGCATACACAAGGACTCGAACTCGAGCTTAAGCTGGAACAAGCCGCTTACCACTTGATCCAACCCTCGTTAGTTAAACATTGGAAAATATTAATTGCTTAATTTTGATGACAAATCCTCTTTCACATTTTTCCCACCTATCTTTTTTTTTTTTCAATAGAATTGCAGTTTATAAGGCAATCTATCCAACAATTGGAACCCTTGCAGATGTGGTTGCAGCAATTGATCAAGTAAGTGCTAAAAATAACTTATTATGCCAAAAGCACTATAATCATTAATATAAGAGACTGAAAAGTTTCAAGTTTAAATCTCTCATCTCTGAAAATAAGAGCATAATCGTTAGTTTAAGCTCATTTTAGTGTAAAAGATGCAAACTTGAGGCTCGTTAGCGGCATATTCAATAATTCTAATGATTCATGCGTTCTGATTTTGTGCTTTCTTTTAACATAGAATATGATTTATGTGACAGGCAAGTACAGATGGAGTGGATATCATAAACCTCTCAGTTGGACCAGAAGAACCCCCAGAAGACAGTGTCACATTCCTAGGCATTTTCGACATCGCCATGCTGTTCGCAAGAAGAGCTGGTATATTAGTGGTGCAAGCTGCAGGAAACCAAGGACCAGGTCCTTCAACAGTTGTAGCTTACAGCCCCTGGGCTGTTGCTGTAGCCGCTTCTACCACTGACAGAATTTACCCTGCTTCTCTTCTCCTTCCCAACGGTCTAAGCATTCCTGGTGTGGGGTTATCAGGTAACTTCTGCTTCAAGTTACAATATTTTCAAAGTAGCTCTATTCAAACAGCACTTCTAATGCTTTAGCTAAACCATTCAAATGATACAGCATCAAGCTCTGGAAGTGGGTCATCTTCGTTTTACAAGCTAGTAATGGCTAAGGATGCTTTACAGCCAAATGGGACGTTTCCATGGACTCCACAGTATGTTGAAGAATGCCAGTATCCAGAAGCATTGGATCCTGCAGTAGTCAGGGGCAGCATTGTGGTCTGCAGTTTCTCCGCTGGCTTCTTCAACCAGACATCGTCCCTGACTGCCATCGTGGACACTGCAAGAACTCTTGAATTCATGGGGTTTGTCCTGGTTGCAAACCCAACATATGGAAATTTCATCGCCCAGCCCATCCCACTCTCTGTTTCCGGAGTTTTGATCCCCAAAGTTGCTGATGCAAAGGTTTGTAGTACAAGCATCTGGAAATTATCTATTATTGTTCTTGAATCCGGGAAGAAAATGGCCTTTTTTTTTTTTGTGTATTTGCAGATTGTACTGCAGTACTATGAACAGCAGACAATCAGGGATGGAAGAGGGTTTGTGACATATTTTGGCGCAAGGGCTGCCATAGGAGACGGCAGGATTGCTTCCTTTTCTGGACAGGCACCAGTTGTTGCCAGGTTCTCTTCAAGAGGACCGGATTTTATTGACAGTAACAGGAGCCCCACCGATGTTCTAAAGCCAGATATTCTTGCTCCAGGCCACGAAATCTGGGCAGCTTGGAGTCCCATTAGTGCCTTGGAGCCCATACTGACAGGGTATGATTTTGCGCTGTTGTCCGGTACAAGCATGGCTACACCGCATGTTGTTGGAATAGCAGCTCTGATCAAGCAAAAGCATCCTTCGTGGACTCCATCAATGGTAGCATCCGCCATCTCTACCACAGCCACCCAGTATGACAACACCGGGGAGATGATAATGGCAGAAGGACTTGAGATTGGTAGCTTGTTTCCCTCCACTTATTTTGATTCTGGCGCTGGATTCGTCAGTCCCTCTCGTGCCATGGATCCAGGCCTCGTCTTAAATTCAGGTAACCTATTAACTTTCTTGGATCCAATTACAACTTGATCGGTTCCATTAGTCCCATCAAATTGAGAAAACAAGCTTATTCATGTTCACGTTATATGTGTACCAGAATTTGAAGACTATATTGGTTTTCTCTGTTCAATGCCGGAAATTGATAGGGCAGCCATCAGAGTTGCCACAGGTGTATGGTGCGGTCAAGCACTCAGCCACCCAGCAAACCTGAACCTTCCATCAGTGACGGTATCTGCACTGACAAGATCACTAACATTGCGTCGAAGTTTCAGGAATGTAGGAGGGAAACCTGAGACATATGTTTGCTCGGTAATATGGCCTAATGGGACAACAGTCGATCTGTTTCCACCCTCGTTCACCATAGCATCAGATGGAACTCAGGACCTGTACATTGAAATCAATGTGACTCTGGCAAGAAATGAGTTCAGCTTTGGCTTAATTGTTTTGACGGGGAGTTTGAATCACATCCTGAGAATGCCTTTATCAATTAATCCAGTTTCCATATATTAAATGAAATTGAAGCAGCTATTTTACCGTATCTTTGTAACACCATGTTCATAGAGGACGGTAATGGAAGTTTTACAACAAAGAAGTAAACTGCGAATGCAAGATAAATGCTGAAATAAATATAGAAAAATCATAATAATACAAAGAATGCAATCTAACTATCAAAGGATTATGCTTTTGTAAAGGCCTCTAATTACATAAGATTAAAAAATATATATATATAAATTAATTCGAAAACACCCTAATAACAAAATTTTAAAATAATAATACGACGATTCTATTATATACGAAACTGAAGC